GGCGTAACGCTTTGCACTGAAAGGAAAATTTTTTCAAATCAATATTTCATGAGGAATATGTTTAAACTGATCTGAGAGGAATCCGATTCAAAGGAATACTATTATTACTCTCTTCATATACGATTTTTAATAGTTTTACTTACATTATTTTTATAATATATTTCCTAGAATTTCCAACGAATATTTAGTTATCTTTTGCCTATTTATAACCTTACTCAAAAAACAGTTAAGGGTGGATTATTTTATTTTATTTTTTTGGTTTATTGGATTGCATTTCTTTTCTTGGCGACTTCTTGGCGGTCTTAAGGTATTTTCTTCTTGTGCTATTTTGCTATTTTTATACCCGTACTCAAAAAAGAGTTAAGGGGTATATTAGATTTGTGGTAAAAGTGGATGTGTGCAACGCAGAGAAAGAAAAAATGTTTCCGACCCCATAAAGTATATGTATATATTCTTGATCAGCATCAATAGCCGAGTCGATATAGCCATGTCTGTCTGTCTGTCTGTCCGTCTTGTTGAGCGCCTAGATCTATAAGACTATAAAAGCTAGGGCAACCGAATTTGGTTTCCAGACTCATGTGATATCACACTGCTACAAGTGTATTTAAAAATTTCGCCCCGCCCCCACAATGGACGAAAATTTGTTGCTTCCCCCGTCTTCCCCTGCATGAAACACGCTACTGATTCTCTTTCTCGCTCGCAAACTCTGCCGGAGCGTAGGAGATGTAGAATCTAAATGGTACATGTACAATATACATGTTAGATGTAGAATATACATTGTATATGTATATGTAGATAACAGATGTAGCAACAAAAATGTAAAAAAATTTTTGTAAATTCTTTAATTCTAAAAAATCATATGCTGAAAAATGTATATACTGACTGAGTACGGGTATAAGTAGAGTCGCGTTCCCAGAAGCGACTCACACGTTCCTTCTCGTTTTTCTCTCACTGTATTGCTATTAGAACAATCAATAATGTATAGCCACTGGGACACACATATTTTGATTACAAAAATTCCACAATTTCTAATCCTAAATATTCAGTTTACCCGAAGGCTTAGGCTCTGGCTCTGATTTATGTCTCATGTTCTCCATTAAAATGGAATTTTGTCTTGAGATGGTAATTTATGGCACCAGCGGCAATGCTTTATTTAGAATATTGTAAATTTAAATCAAGGGTAGCCCCCAAAAAGGAAGGTGGTATGTGGCAGGAACCAGCCACTTGCACGGGCATTAGCATTTTGCAAGTATTTAAATGCGAGGAGCCTTCTCCATCGGCAGAACACAGCAGGGGATGGCCGGGCTGCCGATGTTATGGCACATTAATAACTAGAATTTGGATCGAGGTCTGGGTAGGCAACTGGGAGTGGATGGGTGTGGTTTATTTGAGTATTTTTGGGGGTGCGGCCACCAAGTTATGCCATTAAAATGTCAAAATTTTCAAGCTTCTCCACTCCGACACGCCAAATGAAACGTGGCACGCCCCCGCAGACACCTCTAACACGACACCGCCCATCTTGCCACCCAAAAAGAGAATCTCCTACCACAGAAAATGTGCCTTGAAGGGTAGCCAAAAGCTATTTAATACAAATTATATTCCGCCATCATTACAATGGCAATGGAACTGGGGAGGAGCCTATGGCCCTGTCCCATTTGGGAATACGCCAGGCAACTGTTTCCTCCATTTGTCTTAGAGAGCAAACTTTTCTCTCGAGTGGAAAGATGCAAAATGGACTTTGGGAAAGTCACAGCGCAAATGTCTTTAATATTTGACTTGTTTTCAGCCGACTGCAAATAGTTGAAATGCAATTGCGAACAAAACTTTACCCGAAGTGACATTTCAAAAGGAACAACTTTATCGAGAGAGAGAGACAGAGAGAGAAGAGAACGCTGCAGAAAGGCAGGAAGTACGGAAGTTGGTTGGGGGGCTACCCATCAATCTGATATCAATATGGAAATGAGATTGCCTTGAGATTTTTCAAAGAACTTTTCTTGAAGCTTTTCACTGATTTTCCCTGATTTTGCTCTACTTAAAGTTTGAGTAACCTGTACAAATCTCTACCGAAAACGGTGTTCAATTAGTTGGCGGCTTAACGAGTCAGCAGTTTCTTTTGCAGTCTCAAATATACTAAATTCTAATGACTGCCAGATCTTTTTTCCCCATTAAGTGATTTGGCGTGCAAAAAATGGCCAAGTCCACCCGCCTCCTCCCACCATACAAGGCGAAAGTAATGCCATGAAATTGATATGAATGGCCGCCAACAGCAAAAAACTTTTCTGCAAGCTGTACACAAACCAAGCAGAAGAAAAAGCAAAATAAATGAGTAAATAAGCAAGAAAAGGAAAAGCATTTTGTGCGCCAGGTGGCAGAGACCCAAAAAAAAAAACCAAAAAAAAACCCTTGAAAGTGCGCAAATTAATGATTATTTGAGGCAGTTTTTCTCCAACAAAAAAAATCTCTGTATAATGCAATCAAAGTTGGGTTAGTGCCAGGGGACCCGTAGCCCGAAGCCGATAACACAGATAACACAAAATTAGCAATTTGCCTTAATGTGATGTCTGTGATTGACCCCCAAAGGAAACCAGACAAACACACACACAAAAAATGGTCTCTCCCCTCCACAAATTCCCCAATGTGTGTTGGGTTTTTCCACTCAAAAATAGCTGCAGCTTTCTTACAGCTTGTTTTTTTAATAATTATTTTATTGATTTTCCACACTCGAATATAATCAAATGTACAAACAAACATACACACAGCACAACAGAACAGCGACAGAATAAATATTTCTTTTCGTTTTTGGGCTTTTAATGAGATCCCGCCCGGTGCTGGAAGGACTTGTGCCGTCGGCAGGCTAAAGATTTGTGATATCAATTCAGGCGGAAAATGTCTGGGACTCACTTAATTTAACAAGTGCGGAAAACGCAAAGCAAACAGGAAAACGCAGAGACTGTTGAGAGCAGATACAGCTATTAGAGAGTGCCAAGAAATAAGGCAAGAAAGAGTAGTCGAAGATTAAGATACACTTGGACGTACATTTTTAATATTATTATATATATTTTCTGTATGAGAGCAAGAAATCATTTTGAATCCATTCTACATTAAATCATCTATAGAATTCCAGTTATTTTAAAACAATAGAAGTTTCCCTCTTTTGTACAAAATCCCAGTATTCTTAGTGTATTAAATCAGCCATCCAAAAGTTCAAGCTCGTAATGGAGCCCTGGCCAACAATTTGAGTTCTGAAAGTACTCGAAATCCTTGCTGATTTTTAACGATTGCTGCGCGGAGTACAGCACATCCTTCAGACGCGAATATGGTTGGTAATTTTCCCCCATTTCCTGTGCACATTCATACAATGTACAAGTGTGTGTGCCAGTCCTTCCGTTTGCTGGTTTGCTTATGTATAAGTTTAATTATTGTAATGCTCACTCTGCCGGATTAAGCTGCTCCCTCCACCTCGAACAGCATACAGATGTCTGTATGTATGTACATATCCACTCTAGGGTTTTGAGTGATGGCTGTGTTTTCAATCAATTATACGCCAAAGCAACTTATTAGGGATTTGTGGCAGGAATTGGGGTGTCTCCTTATTCAATGGGAAAACCCAGAAACACAAAAGAAATATGATAGAACGAGCTCTGCTGAATACCTGAAATATGTACCTCGAAATGTAAATGGAATTTGAAGTACTTAGGTGTCATAATAAGTCCATGGTCTCGCAATGTGCCACTGACATAATTCAGCAAAAACACCAGCAGAGCAGAGCACACAGGAAGTCCACACACAGTGAGCCACAGAGCTGTCTTCCCATGAATAAATTATGCCAAGGCTGAGCACACAGAAAAATATGAAAAACAGAAAAACAGAAAAAACGGAACAGACAGAGATACCTTGTGCTTAGTGATACTTTTACACGGCGACGGCAGACAGGCAGACATGCAGCGGGTTGACATACAAATGCCATTAAAGTGGAGGTCGTATCACACACACATGCACACGGCGTATGCGCAATATTAAATTGATTTTTGTACCTCACTTAAAGTTTACGTTTTCCACAAACAATCATCAAATATTAATTGGTGTGGGAATTGAAGCAAATAAAATAAATAACAGAGAAATGTATAAAAATAATACAAAACTTGTTTGCTTACCTTCACCTTGGAGCAAATAATTTTCGGTCTGTGTTTCTGTGGAGGGTCTTCAACTGTTACCTTGGGGGCCGCAAACAAAATCAAACTTTTTGAAGCACTCGACGAGTCAAAAGAAAACCAATTTTCAGCATGTTCAAAACTACTTGGGCATACGAAAACCTTGGGGATCGGGCTTGGACTCTCTCACTCTCTCCCTGTGTATCCTCTGGTCTTTGGGTTTTGGGTACGGACTGGATTTTGTTTTCGGGTTTGGCTATTGGGTTCTGAGTTTCTGTATTGGCCAATGCCTTGTTCTCTGGCCGGCCCATTGTCACATTTCTATTATGTGTTTGGGTACGTCGACAATAGCAGTTGTTGCTGGCTTTTGTTGCCTCGTAAATATCCATTTATCTGCCGGCCTCTCCAACGCCGTGCTGTACTGTGTGTTTGTGTGTGCGTGAAACATTTCAATTTCCTAAAGGACCTGCAAGGCATGATGCTAGCATGCTCTGCATACATGTCCAGGGCATGGGCAAAAAGAAAAAAAAACGAGGCCGTCAGAGAGTCTGAGTTCTGAGCCACATCAAAATAGCCGGCGGCCGTCGGTCGGCTTTAAGCATTCCATTAAGTCGGAAAACACAACGGAAGATATATACATATTTTTCGCCTCTCATTGCTTGGCTCTGTGCCAACATCAGAGAAAGAGCGAAAACCTAAACAAAGTAGACGCAACACAAAAGAAATTTTTTGTTACAAAAATTTAAAAAAATATTTTATTATGTGGCAAAAGGGTTGTGTCCTTTTGACTGCTGCCTAAATATTTATATCAATTTCTTATATCTAAATATTTTGCATATTTATTTTCAGTGCGATGTTTTCGATGAGATTGACCTATCGGATTTGTGTTATTTTGAGTGTGGAATCAAGAACGTAAATCATAGTTTTCAGGTAAGTGAGAAGTACCAGTAGCGACACCGACTGCTGCATAAAATATTCCTTAGACATAATTAACCAATACGAAGCCATAAAAATGTAATGCGAAAAGTTGGTCCTCGGTCCTTCACAAAAATTTTTGGTTTTGCGTAAATATTTTATTTGGCTTTAGGTGCTTCGGTCTAATTAGTTTGGCAATTTATTCGGCCCACCTGTTTCATTTCAACTTATTAGCTATTAATTTGGCAAACTTCTACTTACATTTACCTGCCGACCTTCGTCTGCCTGTTCCAGAGAATCAGTGTGAAGGGCAGCAGAAGTAACTAAAACAAAAGAAAATGCTGCTGTCAGAGCCGAAGGATAAACATACTCGTATAGGCAAAAGTATCAGACACTTCCTGTTTGTCATCATTCCTCACTCAGGAAAAGCCAGATCAACCTTTGGGTCTACCTTAAGATTTCTTTCTTTATTTCTATATAAACGATATCAATACAGCCACAAAAAAGGGGGAAATCCCGGAAAAGCCAAGGCGGAAAAACAAAAGAAATCGAAGCAAAATTCATGCCAAATTAGCATAAGTAGGCAGACTCCTGCCATGAACAGAGTCTGTTGCTCGTATTCCTTATACATTTATTTAAATTTTGTGTCTTTTTCTGCTTTTCACACGAATGCGCAACATTTGATGCGAAAAATTAGGGCATTTGTGTGTCTGTGTGTGTGAGGAGAGATCATGGGGGGGAATTGGAATGCTTAGCCGCCGAATGGGAGCTTCCGTTGCGTGAACCTGCCCAATAATAAAAATCCGTATATATATCTTATATCTCTTTATAATATAAATAATAAATTCGACGAGCCGAGCGTATACGCGTGCTCAGGAAATTGCCAAAAGGTTTTCTGTTGCTCTTTCTGATTTTTTCCCATTCTTTCGGGGAAAATGTTATTAGCTAAAGGCGACGCCCATCATCGTTTTTTATTGTTTTTTATCTGCTGCTCCTAACTCTGTGAAGCCCTCGGAGAATTGGTTTAGGTGTTATCTAAGCAAGGAACCCACCCTCCTTTTGAAGGACTCACTTAAAGCCAGCGGAAAATTTTTTTTCTGTCTGCACACTGCTTAAAGTTTTATGTGTGAAACTCTCTTTCTGTTTGGTGCTGCTTAAAGTTTTATAGCGGAGGAAAAAACCACAACAATGGTTGCCAAGAGGGTTTTTTTTTTGGCATTCAATTTTTATGCACAAGGAGAGTACACAAGGCTGGAGTGAACGAGTATCCTGTCAATGGCAAATGCCTGTCAGTGGCAGTAAACCGCAGCAAACATGAGAATCCAAGCCTCGTTGCAGCTACAAATAAACCAATAAGCGGAACATTCAATCAAAATTTATATAAAAGAAAACAGTTTATAGAAAAACCTGGCATTTCCGTTGAAAAATACGACTAAAATATAGTATTTCTATGCACTGGAGTGGTGTGCAAATAGATGACATTTTAGACACTCTATTCGCGTTCGAAAGCCGTTTAAACTTTGTGTCAGATATTTAAGACCTCACGTAAGCGGCAACTTACCTGCTGCTTGCCACGTGCCGCAAACTTCTGCACGCAGACACATAGACAGACACGACACCCGTAAGAGGTTTGTCGAGCGGTAATCGCATTGTTAACAATCCCTTTGCCAATGCTGTTTAAGCCTCAAGACGATTCCCGATGTGCTTCACAGTAGTACTTACTTGGCAGTGGGAATGGCACAACATGTTGTTTACAGATTGCATAAGGATTGGCTTACATGGCTACAAAACGGCGTGCAACGTGGTGTATACGCATTGTTGGCATCCCCTTGAGGAGTTCGCTCCCATAGAAACCCTGCTGAGTCGCAGTTGAACTAATCTAAGAATAAAAGTGGCTCAAAATCTAGTTTTCATTTGCTTTTGCATTTCCGTTTTATTTCTACAAAAGCATATTTCGTTTAGTAGAAATTTTTGCTGCTTTCTATTCATGAAACTATGGAAAATAATATAAGACAGTCGTCAAGTCAGATCGAGCAGTGTCGACAATATTATTCTCTTACTTTGCCAGACTACCGCGATATTTATAGTAAATAAACACTCAACTAAATAATATATAATATTTAGGAATGGGAACGGCACAACACGTTGCTTACAGATTTCATTAGTATTGGTTTACATGGCTGCAAGACGGCGTGCAACGTGCCATATACGCATTGTTGGAATCCCTTTGAGGAGCTGTTCCCATAGAAACCCTGCTGAGTCGCAGTTTAATAATGTAAATCTGAGAATAGAAGTGGTTCAAAATGTACTTTTCATTTGCATTTCCATTTAATTTACACAAAAGCATCTTTCATTTGGTATAACTTTTTGTCCTTTTCTATTCATCAAACTATGGAAAATATTGTTTGTAAGAGAAGTTAAAAGGTTAAGATATTTCCTTTTCTTGTGCCATTGTCTGGCTTTTGAATGGAAGTTTATATAATAATGACTGACTCGTTACCATAATTGTTTGTGTCTAACAAGTGGATTTTAATGAGCTAATCGGCTTAGAGGCAGACAAGGCAAGCACCCACCTTGATGTCTAAGTGCATTTCTGGTTTCTGTAATTAGGTTGCTAATTAAATAAAATTACTGGCACCTTGAGAGAGTGCTTTTGTTTGAACCCAGCGAACTACTTGCATATCGAAGGGAGGAATGCGAGCGCTGGGTGAGCGCTGTAACAATGAACATTCTGGTAGCATGGTAGCAATAATTTACGCACTCCATTTAACGAACAATTTTCAAATGGTTGCTCCTTGCTTGTTCTCGTGGCATGGAATTTGTAATAGCAATCAAGTTGATTGATTGCCTTCACCACGAACACATCGAAGTTGCCAGCCTCTTCGACATCAATTATGCAAAGAGGCTGTGGTGGGGCCCCAACTCTTGTTCCTTGCGTATACGCAATGCAAGTCCTTAGAGGCAGCTGCTTCCACCGAAACATTACATGTTCTTTTTACAAATTACGCAGCATCCACAAAACTTAATTGATTTCCAGAAAGCCACCAGAAAGCCAGAGGAGTCAGCAAAAGTTATGCCCACAATCACAAATATTTCCATAATTGAATGGTGGATGGATTCCCATTCTGGTTTCTTGTTTAACAAACATCAACTTTGGAGTCAACAATTTTGAATCAGACTTCCACTGATTGCCAGCCATGGGGCAGTGGGAAGCAGTGTGAAAAGTTTTGAATGCTCTACCAAGAATATAACCAATTTGTTGAATGTCAAGTGACATTTGCTTTGTCAATTAGTGTTTGTTAGGCTTTGGTTTTAATTAAGGGTTTGCCAAATCTATTATCTTTGCTGCTGTATTGTGTTGTGGCTCTTATGGATGGCTTGGCTTACAAAGATTGATGAAAGATTTCGTGGGAACAAGCATAATTAATAAATGAATGTCTGTGCGTGTGTGTGTTGTCAAATGTTTTTTCACATATTCTGTTGAAAGAATTTTCAAATTAAATTTCAATTTCAAAGCTACTACATACGAGTATATCGTTGACTTTGTTCATTCATATTCAGTTGGTTTTGCTTTCCAAGAAAAATGTTCAAAAGGAAACCCAATTGAAAAACGTACAAAGCCAAGCATTGCATTATTAGTTTCTTTCTTTCTTTTGTTAGCTTGGCCCGCCCAGTGGTTGGAATATGTATAAAAATTTAGAAACAATCACGGGCAGGACCTGTGTGTGCCAGGTAATTGTAACACACTCTCCTACCCAGTCCTCAGTTCTAAGGTCTGCTGAAGGCTGTCCTGTCCCCTCACACACATGTCCTTGAACTTTGAAATTTCTTTCAACACAGTGAAACAAAACTCATAACATTTTAGCCATATAAATGTTTTGTGTGGCAGACAAAAAAAAAAAAAGAAAACTCTTGGTGGAAAAAAGTTGCCAAACAACACGAAGCCAACGCAAATGTGTTAATAGTCTTTGGCAAAGTCTATAACTTTGGTAGAGTTTATGTGTTCCTGCTTCTATAACGAGGATCTCGTTGGCCAATTCCTGGAACTCTCTATTTAGACGCGTGGCAGGTCTTCAAATCCAACAACAAACATAAATAGAAATTACTTTCGAGTGCTTTTTATTTTCAGCAATTAAAAATCATTAGACTTGCAAATGAGACTGTGCCTGTGACTGGAAGAAGAAGTAGAGTCAATTTGAAAGGCAATTATGGAAGTGTTTCTCTTATTCATGGAGTGCATAAGATGTTGGAACTATGTATATATATTTCAGCCTGTAGCATACAATTCAGACGCAAGTTAAAGAAATTTGCAACCTGAAACCTTTCAAACCAATTCCAACTATTTCATAAACTCATTCAAATTCGAAGAAAACCTAATGATTCATAAGCTTCCAAGTATTTTCCCACTTGAAACACTTTCTTAAAGACAAACAATTTGTATACAGCTTTGCCATTGAAAAACTTCAACACGAATATAAAATTTTTTAAGCAAAAGTTTAACGAAATTTCCATACTATACCGAAAACTTTGGTCGAACAGCCAAAGGCCTTTTTCCACCAAGGCGGGTATTAAAATTTCAAAAGTAATTTTAACATTTCTTTTCCTTTGACTCTGCGGTGATAATGAAAAAATAAGCATGGGAGCGTGTGTCTGCCTCTCGGGGGCTTTACTAAGAAATAAGCCAAGGAATATACATAAATATATATGTATATACAGATATATATGTGTATGTATGTACAAACAGAAGACGTGTTTCTGGCAGAGACACGAAAACGGTTTTGATGTGCTCACTGGGGGACAATGCGGCGTATGCGTAATTTGGCTGCTGTTGCTTCTTCTTGGACTTCTGCTCTGTTCTGTTGCTCCTTGTCATGAATATTTGGGTGGGCGCCACTTCGGTGTTTGGGCCTAATGAATTCTGGCATATGTCGCCTTGGGTTTGAAGTGGCACAGTGGTGCACAGGTGGCTCCTAAAAGTACTTTAAAACTATACATTTCTACCTTGAAAAATGCTTATTAAATATTCAGGCATGTTCCAAGGATGTGCGTCAGCTTCTGCACACTTGAATCCTTTAAAGAAATGTTCAAGTAAACCTTACAAATATTTACCCAAAGTTGAAGAATATCCAAGAAAGGTTTTTCCACATTGCACGTCAACAATTTCAAGAGGAACTCTTTCAACTCTTGTTGAAGGGGTGCGCTTCTCCTTTCGTTTGAGTATCAGCCAGAGCTCTAACCATTTCCTAACATGATAATGCAGACCACTGTGCATGTGTCTTAGCGGTTTCTTTTCTGTTTGTTTATGTGATTGGAGAGCGCGACCTGCTGAGCCTTCGAGATGAGGCTGCTGCGGCCTGTGTCAATAGCTTTGGGCGATTTACGATTACACATACCAACCGAAAATTTAATGCGATTATATTGGGTTGACACGCCCACAACACAACACACAACACAGATATCCAACCAAAAAGAGCTTAATGCTTGAAACTCAGAATTGGGAAAACTGCGCAGGCAACACGGGAATAACTGATTAAAGCCTAATTCAATATGAATTAATTCTGTTGTTTAAACACCCAATTAATCGCTCAAAAGTTTTGATCCTTTCCATTTGAATGGCACTCGTTGCGCTTGGCTGAACATCAATTTGCATTTCAGGAGGTCATAAATAATTTTATTGATTGGAATATTGAAAGATTTTCGCCCGTAAAATGTTTGTCGCCGAAGTGGAGGGGGAATCTAGGGACCTGCATTGTGTGTCGCTCCGCATTGGCAGAACAGTTAGCAGCAGCTGTCGCTGCCAGTTTTATGTTGTACCGTGTGCCCTGTTTTTACGGCCACTCTGCCACATTTTTCTTTCGCTTTTTTTTTTTTTTGTGTTGTTTGCAAGTGGAGACCCGCTGCGATGACGCTACACACCCATGTAGTAGCAGCCACACACACACATGTTAGAAGAAGCGCAAAATTGCAATCAGACACCGTTTGCCGAATGGGTCAACACAAAGGACACGCAAACAAACGAGAATTTATTAACCCGCAGATTGGATTCTGCCGTTGACGCCGATAGGTGATGACCCAAGGTGCCAGACATGGCATAAAAAGTGAGAGCAATGAAATATGAAAATGTGATTAAAAATGGCAGTCAGCGGGAGCTTAGCCTTTGAATAGGAGATGCCCCCAAGGGAACACCTTTTCATGTTGTTCTTAAATTTAAATTTAATTACATTGCGGCATCCATTAAATGACAGAAAATCCCCTACTATGCCAATAAATTCCGCCCACATTTCGACGAGAATAAACCTCAAATGGTCCCAAAATAAATTGGAAATGAAATGCAGCTGCAGTTCGAATAAATTTTACAGTTTTCGTGTGGCAAAGGGGAGGAGAAGGATGCATGCGGGCTTTGGTAATTGGCGGCTGACTGACAAACGAACTGAACCGCACGCTCCGGATTTTCGCTTAAAAGCAAATCCATGTTGCAAATGTCAAAGTCAGAGAGTGAGAGAGAGGACCCCAGGCCCCAGGCAATATCCCAGACCCAAGGCACGTGCATTGGGAATCACTTAACCATTTCACATTAGACTAATTGAAAAAACAGGAAAAAGCCGACAGACGTGGAAGTTTCGGTGGCGGCGGCAGTTGCGGCAGTGCTGCTCCTCCATCATGGTGCAAAGGCAGAGGTCGTTAAAATGCCACAGGCAGGCCATGAGGTTCGATGGGTGATGGCGTTGCGGCTGTGGTTGCACATTAATTGCAACATTGAATATGCAAACAGGCGGCTGGCGCTGCGGTGGCAACAGAACCCATCCGACCGTGCCAGACCACTTTTGATTGCAAATTCCAGGAGCATTGGCTGAATGGAGGAGCCCGCAAAACCACCAACCCCCACTCAGACTCAGGCTGAGAGTAGTCGGTGTGTAATTAATGCGTTTAAAATGCAATTAGTGTTGCGGTTAGATTCCATCTTGAGGTTTGGGGTTGGCATCAGCTTCTTTGGGGGCGGCACACGGATGATTTATTGATGATAATATGAAAGCCTCAAAGCTAAAGAGCTGCATCCGGGTCAAGTCCGCTTCTGGTTCTGGTTCTGGCTTGTGGCCAAGTCTTGTCGCCACTTTGGCCCCCAAGTCGATTGGCTCGGAGAGCTCACTTTGCTGTCACAACAGAGACCGACATTGTGCGGTTTATGGCATGAAGGTGAGCCAATTGCACTCGCTTTGGCTCTCTCTGCTCCACTCCACTCCACTCCATTTAGAACCACTCTGCACTCATCACACTCCATACTCCACACTCCACTCACTCTGTGGGGTCGTCGGTTGTCGTGTCACAGCTCCTGACATTGGCATGTCAACTGGTCATTGTCGGAGCTCTTGGTTAAGTCAACTGCAGTTGGCAGCGGGAATACGTACTCTGTGGTGCCATGGAGTGTGTGTTGATGCCATCCTCGAAATATTTAATACCTTTTTGTCTCCCTCTGTCTCTCTCTCTCTCTCTCTCCAAGAAAACTTAATTACGAAATCTAATTAAAACAGAAATTAATGGGTAATGGGTAAAGAACAAACACAGTCATAAGTTAACCGTGTCTAGACAGGAGAGCAGCAGTCCATTAAGTCAATAAAATACCTTATTATGTACCCAACAAACTTGACCGCAAAATGCGATAACTATGCGAGCGAAAAATAAAAATAAATAAAAAAAGAGGGTAAAAAATGGGAAGAAATGTAATGAAAACATGGCCATCGGAAGGACATGCATGTGCGTCGTAAATTCTGAGCAGAGAGAACAACCCCATCATAATTCACTAAGGTAGCCCACGGCGGTTTCCCTACCCTCCTACGAAGGTCGAAGGTTGGATATATTAATTATGCTTGCGAGTCTTGTGTTCGTGGGTGGGGTGGCTGGTTATGGTTATGTTATGGACACTTGAATTGGCGCTCATACAGCGGCTTGTACTACTTAGGGGCTTGGCACTGACTGAAATTCGTGTATGTCTCTGGCTCTCAGCTATCTGCGCATTATCCTTTAACAGGAATACAGGCATTAGCATATTAATGAGGAGCCTCCCTCTCCTGCCCCGAACACTACACGAATAAACCCTCATTTGATTACACAACTAATAAGCTGGCCCCGTCATCCGTGTGTGGTATGGCTTATGTACATTACGACGATGAGTATGTATACCAGTTTCCGTTGCGGGTTAAGTGCTAATTAGAATTGTTAAATATTTGACTTGTCTTTGAGGCACTGACATAATCAGTGGACCATCCCTAGGAGGCAACACTGAAACCTTCTGGCTGTTCCTGGTCTTAACGGATTCTACTCCCATTTCTAATCTAATCGCTAATCTCTAATTCTCTTGCAGATAATCACACCCACTCGCTCGCTGGTGCTCTGCGCCGAATCCAGACGCGAAATGGAGGACTGGCTGGGCTCTCTGAAGACGGCCACGGCCCCGCAGCGTCCGCGTGGCGACAGCTTTCTCATCGAACAGCATGACATCCTGTCGAATCACCATCACTGGTATGCCACCTCGCATGCGCGACCCACCTACTGCAATGTGTGCCGGGATGCCCTCTCCGGCGTCACATCCCATGGCCTCAGCTGTGAGGTGTGCAAGTGCAAGGTGCATAAGCGTTGTGCGGCCAAATCCATTGCCAATTGCAAGTGGACAACGCTGGCGAGTGTGGGCAAGGACATCATTGAGCAGGCCGATGGCATCATTATGCCGCATCAGTGGATGGAGGGGAATCTGCCAGTGTCCGCCGTGTGTGCCGTGTGCAAGAAGACATGCGGCTCGGTGTTGCGACTGCAGGATTGGAGGTGCCTCTGGTGCCGGGCCACATGCCATGTGGCCTGTCGACCACAGATGGCGGTGGCCTGTCCCATTGGACCGGCCAAGCTATCCGTGGTGCCGCCGACCAGTGTGCATTCAATTAGCACTGATGATGCCTGGGATGTGGCCAGCCCCAGGGGCAACTTCTCGCCCCTGCTCGTCTTTGTCAACTCCAAGTCCGGCGACAATCAGGGCGTCAAGTTCCTGCGACGCTTCAAGCAGCTCCTCAATCCCGCTCAGGTCTTTGATCTGATCTCAACGGGTCCCAGTCTGGGCCTGCGACTCTTTCGACATTTTGAGATGTTTCGCATTTTGGTCTGCTCGGGCGATGGCTCCGTGGGTTGGGTGCTAAGCGAAATCGATCGTTTCAATATGCATGTGAGTCCTCAACGAATCTGCCATAGTCAACCTAAAATTTATTCCAAAACTTTGCTCTGCAGAAACAATGTCAGGTGGCTGTCATGCCGCTGGGCACTGGCAACGATCTGGCCAGAGTTCTGGGCTGGGGCTCCAGCTGCGACGATGACACCCACTTGCCGCAGATTCTGGAACGCTATGAATCGGCCAGCACCAAAATGCTGGATCGCTGGAGCATCATGGTCTTCGAGAAGGCCATTGCAGTGCCAAAGATACCAAAAATGTCAATCACCACGGAACAGGAGGCCATGCTCACCGGCATGGTGACCTCGGCGAATCACCATCTGCGCTTCATTGTGGAGACGAATGATACCCAGACGCTGATCACTTCGACGCGTAATCTGTGCGACACAGTCGACGATCTGGTGTCCCGCATCTCGGAGCATCACAAGGAGGACGAACAGTTGAGCGTCAAGTGCGATATACTGAAGCAAAAGCTGAATATGCTGCTCGATGCCCTGCAGGAGGAGGAAATGGGTGCCCATAGTGGCGATGATTTGATAGCAACCATAAGGAGTCTCATAGCGCGTAGCATAGCATCCACCTCGGGCGCCAATCCATCCTTGCTGTGAGTTTACTTTCTTTTACTTTTACTCCAACTTTTTTCTAACTTCCCCCACTTTGCTCTCAAGTAACCCAAACATATCAATCGAAAAGAACGAAAAGGATCAAATCAACTCGAAGGAGCGTCGCAACAGTCGCTCCTTGCGTTCCAGCGAGAAGGAGGCGCTCCAATGTCGTGCAAATAGCGTGAAGCGTGCCATCTACAATGTGGTGGAGCATTCGGAGCCGGGACGACCCAAACGCTATCAGCGTAAGCTCTCGATCACGCCCTTTGAGTCGCTCAAATTGCCAACGAATACATCTGGCGACTCCACGCCCTGTGGCTCCCCATTGCCCATAATACCACCCATCAATATTATATCGCCCACAATGGAGACTTCTCGCCTCACCTGCATCTCTCCGTTGCCGGACACGCGCCGTGATTCGGTGGACGAGAGCTTCTTCAACAGCATTAATCTGCCAGCACCACGGCAATTTGCGGACAGTCGCAGGAGCTCGGGAGTGGATGTTATCCAGGAGATGGAGGAGGGTCCCAATGGGGAGACAGTCTATCGCATGGGCCGCATGTCTCTCAGTGGCGGGGCCAACATTGACGATGCTGGCAATCGTCTGTCGCCCAGCAGCGATGCTGGCGACAACACGGCCACCGATCGCAAAGTGGACTTCCTGCGAGTGCCCATAATGACAAGCGAACCGCTGGTGGATCCCCTGTCCGACTATAGACCCGTCGAGGTGTTTGAGCGCACCTACTACATGACGCGCGAGTTGGATAACGCCAAAGATAAGGAAAAGGAAATGGAAAAGGGAAAGCTGTTGAGTCAGGAGTCGAGCGGCACTCTAGATGTGGAAAAGGAGGACAATATGCTCACTGAAAAGCAGGCGGCATTGGTACACACTTGTAATCTGCAGGTACCCGGCATTGTCGTAACCCCCAACTCCCAAAATGTATACTCAAGCGCCAGTTTAACAATCATTGATACCGATGCACAGACCACCACTGTACGTTTGCCATCTACCAGCGGAATAAAATGCCATTCCCTAACATTCCTTAACTGTTTTTTTCTGTAACTGCTTTCCAGGATCAGTCCTCTTCGGATGAGATGGCAGGCGAAGCCAGCGATGTGCTGTCGGCCATAAGCAATGAGGAATGCAGCGTCGCCTCGGAGATATTCGACAAGCAAGATGCTGGTCAGACTTTGGGCGACATTATACAGGTAAGAGATAACTCAGATCATAAAGAAAACATATATTCAACTTCCCCTTCGATAGAATCTCGATGCCAGCAATTTTACGCACATTGATTCTCCCGAAACGAGCGATGAAACGGAGGCCATGCCGGGCGAGAGTATTATGGATGACATTAGCTCCGTGCTGGGTCACGATATAACCTATGCGCTGCAGGACACCATAACCGATGATACCACCACACTCTGCTCGGAGCATATGGGTCCACCGAAGCCGCCGCGCAAGAAGTCGCTGAGTGCCTTGAGCCGCACCCAAACGCATCCAAGGAGACGCAACTCCTCGCCGCCCAGAATGGCAAGGCTCGCCCGCATGGATAGCGATGAGAATCCACAACAGTTTGGATTCGAGAACATTGTCTTTGAGATAGACAATCGATGCGATGATCAGAAGATGAGGGAACCGCCGCGCTACTGCAGTTTGGCGCAGTTCGTGGAAGGTAACGATATAGCGCGTCAGAGCTTCAAGGTATGTCCTAGATCCTAGTCTGCCATAAAGTATAGTATAGTATTGTATATAGCTTAAACAGTATATAAGTATGTAACTGTAGAGCTATTCTATGGTGTTATCGGAAGTACTCAGACATGGCCACTTATGGTAAAAATCTTTGTTGCTCTCCGTTTGCTTCTTCTTTTTTCTTCAAACGTTTTTCTTTTTGTTGTTCGTGTGTAATCGAAACGAAACTTGCCTCAAATCAATCAAATCAAATCTAAACAATCCTGCAAAAATCACCACCAACCGACCAACCAACCAACCAACTTCCTGTGCCTCCTGTGCTACTATCCTCGACTCGACTTGATCGACTCTACTACTCTACCAAATCTCTCAATGAAACAATGAAAAAGCGTCCCAAAAAGCGCACTTCACTGAAACTGAAACCCAAACCAACTACAACCAATGAACAATCCTCCAATCAACAGCAGCTAATGCAAGAACAACGGAGCAACAACGAAGGCAACAATCCAAATGCAGCCAACGATAATGAAGACAACGCCGACACGGATATGGCAGCAATGCAAACGCCAACGAATGTGCCCCAGCCCCAATATGTGGCAATGCCACACACAAGCGAGGATGAACTGTCCACACAAACGGCAATTAAAATAGAAATACACGATGTTGACTCGACTGTGACAGGTGTGCGCAATTTGACCAGCAACATGAAATCGACATCGCCCACCAAGAAATCGGGCCATGGACAAGATGTAAAGCGCATTACTTTTGATGAGTCGTGTAAGAAAGAATCCTTTGATGATGTAAATCCCAACTATCCACAGATAAGTGTTGTTGTCAGACCGCCGACACCGTTGCGCGGCGACTGCATCAAGCCCGTTGCCGTTGCCATGTTGTCTGCCACCAGCTCATCCGGTGGCAGTGGCAGTAGCGGTTGCGGTGGCGGTGGCATGACCATGGCCTGCACGGGCCTGCTCGGCGTTCGCGCCATGAATGCCTCCGAAATTCGTCGGCATTCGAGTCATGCGCCCAGCAGTCTGGCTGTACGTGAATTCGACAAGGACAAAGATCGCCGTCACTCCGGCTTCAATCCCAATCAATTGACATTGGATCCGGAGCATGCGCGTTTTCTCAGCAGCTCCCCAGCCGCCAGTCGCAGGATTAGCTGTGGCAGCCTCTTCAAGGTAAGTCTCCCGCCCATTGTTCCCCATCCACGACCTCGAACTCGATCTCGATCTCGAACTCGACCCCCCGCAAAAATACCCCACATATTTGACTTACATTGGCACTGCATCGTCGGCAAAGCGCGGCATAAAGCAAAAAAAAAAAACAAGTTTTGAAGTATGTGAATCGATGGTTGTGTCAGGCGAGAGCAATTGGTGTCAAGTGCAGAGTGCAGTTCTCATACAGCCTTAATACACACTTAAACAACAACAACAACAACAGCAACAGCGACTTTAGGTAATTGTACTTATAAGTAAACGCAACCACCACCACAACCACCACAGCCACAGCCACAAGAGAGATTTCTGTGATTATCGTATGTCTGCTGGACCTACAAATTCAATGATTCATCACAACAGGTTTTTAGTTTGGATTTTACACGAGTTTTCCCTTTAGTTTATAGGTTTTTGGTTAGATATTATGTGCAATTGAAAGGGAAAGTAATTTACGAAAATTAAATCAATACTCACATTTTTTTTCGAAAGAGAACAAAGTATTAAATATTAAAAACCATAAAAAGTCGAACAAAGGTACAGCTCTTATTCAGCCAAACTTAGATCAAATTTTGAATTAAAACCGTTTGCTAGTAAAACAAAATTCGACAGAACTTTCCTTAACATAATCTTTAAAAAAATAAAAATAATTATGCTGTTGAAAATTCAAAATACAAGATGTTCGTAACTAACTTTTCAATATCCAAAACACCATTTTAATCGCACAAAATATATCTCCAAAGACTGTTCATTATGATTTGCCACATTATTTCTGATTTAGCCACAGAGTTTTGTTGCCACGTTTAAGTTCCTCGTAAAATTATGAACCACAACAAAATTAAAACCGAAAAAAAAACATCCATGTATTGGTTATACAATAAAGCACAAACAAAAAATTGGTATGTATTTCAAAATTATGTCAAAACTATATAAAATTATGATTTGGAATATACTTAACCTTCGAACACACAGCCCACAACCAATATATATAATAATAAATAGCCACATAATGTACTATACTCGTATGCATATACACACGCAACAATTTTAAAAGCAACATAATACTAAATGCATTTTCTTAGAAGAAAAACCAAAAGGTTGCCACGAAACGGGGCTATGGATTGTTCAGAGTTCGGTTCTTTGTGGTCGCCGAACCAGATATTCGTTTGGCCACACTGGCGCTTATCAGGCCGCTCATACCTCTGGTAAGCCAGTCACCCCCCACAGCCGGGGAAAGGGTATCACCCAACAATTGATATCCCCAATAATTTCTGCGTTCCTGCGTTCGTTCGATGTGTAAATCCCCCCAGCAAATGCCGCTAAAATACTGATCTATAAAACCAATTGAATGAGTAAAAAACTTCGGTGCAACCGAGCTGTGAAAACCCTTAACAAAAATCTATCTTAATTTACAAGTAGTCCGTTTATCAAAGACTAAATGTTTTCCCTCAATTTGTGTAAGTGAATTTTTGTTAAGGGTAAATCGAAAAATGTGAAAATCCTATGTACAAAGCGTGTGTTCCAGTTCCAGTTTCCGTTTCAGTTTCCTCAGCACCTGCGTCAGTTTTCGCTTTTGAGTAGTGTTGCAAAAGTAACCAATAAGTAAACAAACTCTGTTAACCAACACTTAAACAAACAAGAAACCGATAAACATGTAGCTTCTGCTTACCTGCTACCTATCCAACCTACAGCTATGATTTGGTTTGACTTTATGATTTATTTGTTTTCCAGTAGTGTCTCTGTTACTCTCCTCTGTCGCTCTCCTCTCTCTTGCTCACTACAACTCTCTCTCTCTCTCTCTCTCTCTGAAAAAGTACTTAGCAACCCTACGAACAGTAACTGCAAGTCACACTCACCCCAGCCAGCAATCACCAAACACCACACAGAGTTTCACACACACTCAAAATCACATCCACATCCACACCCACACCACTCCACATGTTTCTTTGTATCGTAGTTAGTGCTGACTTTCCAGTTGCTCTTTGACACGTACTCGATACTTCGACCTGCAGTGACCCCCATGTAATCGATGCATCTCTCTTGCAGCCGAACGAAGGCCTGCCCAATCTACAGACCCTCAAGGGCTCCAAGTCGAGCCTGTTCATGGGGTCAACGCTGTTCGGCTTCGATCACTTTGCTGCTGGCGATAAGGACGACAAAACGGGCAAGGACAAAGAGAAAACGCCCACAGAGGAGACCACTCGAAAGTTACCCATCATCAATCCATTGGTTCGACTGCCCAATTGGCCAAGTAAGCATAGCCTGCCCATCTCTCTCTCTCTCTAAACCGTAAGTTTTTCATTATATTTACTCCTATTTAGATCTCGCTAATGGTGGCGGTTTCATCTCGAAATGTCTGCTGGCCAATGCCGATACTTTGTGTGCCGCTGTCAGCCCATTGATGGATCCGGATGAGACGCTCCTGGCCGGCTACCATGAGAAGTGCGTAATGAACAACTACTTTGGCATTGGTATCGATGCCAAGATCTCACTGGATTTCCACAACAAGCGCGAGGAGCATCCAGAGAAGTGCCGTTCCCGTGCTCGTAATTACATGTGGTACGGGGTACTTGGCTCCAAGCAGCTGCTCCAGAAGACCTGCAAGAATCTCGAGCAACGGGTGCAGCTGGAGTGCGATGGGCAAAGGATTCCGCTGCCAGAGCTGCAGGGTATTGTTATATTGAACATACCTAGCTTCATGGGCGGCACCAATTTCTGGGGCAACACCAAGAAGGACGACATCTTTCTGAGTCCCAGTTTTGATGATCGTGTGCTCGAGGTTGTCGCTGTCTTTGGGTCTGTGCAAATGGCCGCCTCGCGGCTGATCAATCTGCAGCACCATCGCATTGCCCAGTGCCAAAGTGTGCAGATCAATATTCTGGGCGACGAGGAGATACCCATTCAAGTGGACGGCGAGGCATGGCTACAGCCTCCCGGCATGATTCGCATCCTGCACAAGAATCGCGTACAGATGCTCTGTCGCAATCGGAGTCTGGAGCTCTCCCTGAAGAGCTGGCAGGAGAAGCAGCGTCAGCACAGCATCTCCATACAGAGGGATGCTTCCTCCACCGCATCCGAGCACGCTGTCTCCACGGATGAGGTGATCTCCGAGCGGGAGTGCTATGTCCTTCTCAATTTCATTGAGGCTGTTAGCTCTCTGGTCAAGTGGGTCAAATTCCTGATCATCTCCCATCCCGCACTGCAACACGATCTATATTGCGTGGCCTGTCGGGCCAGTGAGGCTTTGGAGAGCATTCATCCGCAGGGTAAACTGCTCGAGGGTCCCTCTCTTCGCACCAACTTGGTGGAGGTGATTGATTCCTCGCGACAGTTGTATGACGACGCTTGTACCTTGCTCCGAGATCGTGGACATAGTCTCATCCTAAGAGAAGACCTGGAAACGAAACTGAGTGCTGCTCTGGCCAATATGGAGATGGAGCTAAAGAAGTGTTCGGTGCAGAAGTGCATTGATGGCAAGCTACGGGCATACTTTAATGTTCTGGCACCCAATGAAGAGGTGAGTTTTGACACAAATTCAGCTGATTATGGTTGTAATCGTTCATTTATTATCCTCTAGCCCGATGGTCGTCGCAAGTCTAGACCCTTCTGGGTCCGCCTACGCTCTGGATCCACCGCTGGACAGCAGCAGTTCAAGTCTCCCATCAACAACACGCGCGAAGCGGCCAACAATTGGAGTGTCAACGAGGTGGTTACTTGGCTGGAGACCATGCAGCTATCCGAGTATGTGGATAGCTTCCTGAAGAACGACATTCGCGGCAAGGAGCTCCTGACTCTGGGTCGCCGTGATCTCAAGGATCTGGGTGTGGTCAAAGTGGGTCATGTCAAGCGCATACTCCAGGCCATCAAGGATCTCAGTGAGAATTAAAAATAATTGCAAATATAACGAATGGTTCCTGTTGTTAAGAGAGTTAAGATGTAGAAGTGAAGGTGTACAACCGGCTAGTACAAAGCAAATAAGTCTTCGAAATGTGCTCTTAGAGTTGGCAGCGAGAGATCAGATATGTATATGTATGTATGGATACGGATATAGAGGAGAGTGTATGACAGTGTACAGGTGAGTGCTTAGGGACTGTTAATTTTTTTAGAGGGGGCAACCAATGCATACAACAATCACTAATTTATAGGCTAGCTTAGCTAATGTCATGGGTATGCGGGAACCAGGGCGACAAACGAAAGAAAACGACGATAACGAAAAGAAAAACGATAAACGTACACAATACCGTTTATAATTCAAGCAAAATACTTTTTGAAAGATACTTGTAAAAAATTTTCTGCTCCTAGAAATGTAAGATAACCCCGATGGAAGACAAAACTGATGTAACTTTGATGTTTTATGTGTACTCATGTCAAATTCGAGGATTACTTAACAAATAATTGGCAGTTAAACGAATTTAAACGTAGTGGCACATGCAAAGATTTAACAACAACAACAACAGCAGTTAGCTTTTAAGTGTTTGAAAATTCAGCCCCAAAACCTTAACCTAATCGAAATAGATGGAACCTCACAGATAATCCCTACACTTACCCTTTGAACCAAGTCCTAGATAAACCTAAGCAAACAACAGAACCCCAGTTAATCATTTAACCTTATGACTAAACACACAAATATGATTCTAAATTTAAAAGCAATTTAAATTTTACAAATTAAAAATCCAATGAAACCCCCAAAATCAAAAAACAATCTCAACATTATATTAAATATACTTATACATATAATTGTACTTGTACTTATATATAGTTATTGGAAATTAAATTTAAATGTTTAGCCCCTACTGATACTAACCTTATGGGCATATACGAGAACCATTACTCTCGTAGAAGCTGCAACAAAGAAAAGTCTGTTAAAAGTGTCATTTTTTGTGGTAACCGAAAGCAACTCTAACTTTTTTAATTTAAATGAATTTAGTTGTTAAGTCCAGCAACGTTTTTTCAAGAATAAGTTTATGTAGGTAAGAACCCTCCCCTTGGGTGCGGTTACATTCCCTGGTGCCGGATGCCAGGGAAAACCCCCCCTTAAAAACAAATTCATTTTTGGTACTATATACAAGGATATGGTATAGAAAATTAGCTAGCATTGGGAACACGGATTTGGGTGTTCGGAAAAAACCTTTTTGGTATACCTTTTAATTGTTTAATTTTAAGTGAAACCAAAGAAAACAAAACCCAACTTTTATCAAACAAAAGGAAACGTTTAATTGTTAAGAAAAAAATTGTGCTAAATATTTTTATAAGTCACCCCCTTTTCGATTTGAACCATTACGTGCAACAGTTTCTCTTCCCAAAATATAATATAATATAATATACATATACATATATAGCTGCATAATGAGTAGATTTTAGGTAATCCACAGATCTAAATGTCCCCCCGTTTTCTGCTCTTCAAATGTTTGCTCAAATGCCTCCCATTGAGTGAGCATTTGAAATGGAAAAATCTTCGGCAAAAATATAGCATACTTATATATAACAAATCACTTGAGCGACGTCTATAATATTATATTTTTTGATATATAAGTATAAATGAGCCCAGACCAACTCGATTGATTTGTTGTAGTCCCAAATAGAATCCTTGTACTATTTCTTCTGTCCCCAAAATGCACAATTAGCAATACCCATGATTTATAAATATTCTGACACATATTTGTGAAACCATTTACGCTTACGATTAACCTAGATAAAACAGAAATCAATTTCAAACCCTAAATTAAGATAAAAACCAAGAACTATAATAAAAACAAACACTTAATATAATACAAAAATACTAAAAACAAATTTAAAAATTAAAAACTAAAAGGTAAAAAATAAACGAAAAACACATTTAAAACATTTTTTCGACACATGTATTTTCGAGCAAACTTTAAGAAACTTAAAAAAAAAAAAATTAAATGCAATCATAATACAATTGAAAATAGTTATAATTTATATATTGTAAAGTATATACTACATACATATATATGTTTGTATGTGTATCTGATCGGCTTTTAGTACTTTCTGAATTCAAAAACTTATAAGTTAGACCCATTATCAAACTCTAATCATTTCTCCTTAATTTTAGTTTCAAAATACTGTGATAACAGCTTTCTATATTCCTGTAACAAAACAAAGAAAACGACCTAAAAACTAATATAAAAACATAATATAATAAGTCATAAAGTGCAATAATAACTGAACACAAAGTCTTATAGTTCGTCTACAATCAGTAAAATTAGGTAATGCCTATGAAAACCATTTACCAGCAATAAGTGTTTAACAACGTGTTTTAATAATTAATGGAAATTCAAATTTAAAAACCAGAAAACCCAAACAAAAAAAGATTCCCAAGCAAATGTATAAAGCTGTCTCTCTGCAAATATACTTACAGTCCCAGATAACACCAGAAGAATTCCGATGATATTGTAAAGTTAAAAGCAAAGCCATAAAGCAGATAAATACGTATATTTCCTACCCACAATAATACAGCAATTATAATAGAGAACATTTTCTTGAAGAAAAACTTAATACCAACAATAATAAAAACAAAACACAACAAAAATGTATTTGTTTTATTTTGGAGTTGGAGCAGTTTTGCGAATAGGATTTCATACAAATTCCTTGAAGTAAATCCATCATTAGATTGCTCAAATTGCCAGATAAAGTCCGCTATTTAATCACCTGGAACTGCTTAGCATTATCTGGTCTTGAACTGCGTTCAGAAAAAATTCGCTGGGCCTCCATTATCAACGCAGAAAGTGCACGCACCCTGCACAAAGGATTTAAGACCCGAATGCCTGTCGTCCTTGCTGCACAAGACGTTGGAACTGGAACTATCAATCCTCCAATCGATTGTATTTACCCGCCTTTAAAAAACCGTTTTGTAAAACGTTTATATGCATTTTTCATTTATTTGATTCATACAGTTTTTATAATCACTTGTTTTTCTTTTGGTTTGGTTTTTTGGTTTTTTTTTTATTATATATGTTTTCTTTTATATGATTTTGTTACTGTTTCATCCAAGTACATATATAATTTTATTATATCGTGTTATTTAGCATTTCTATCAAGGCTATTTGGTGTGCCTATCGTTTATGACAATTTTAGAAAAAAATCATCAATCGGTTTTGCATTTTGTATTAATTTTATATAATGGGATTTTTGGTTTTTTGGTTTTTAATTTAAAATTTGTGGCGCATTGAGGCGTGAATGTCAAATGTAGTTCTCATTTTGGAATGTCTCAAACGGAAATGTACTTTTATTTGTGACACTCATATAAGTAGTTCTAAAAATGTATATTGGTTTTTGAAGAAGCCTTTTTTTGTGGTGCGCCTTTTGGTATCGTTTTTGTAGGGTTTTAGTGTTTCATTATTATTTCTCATTTCATTTCCTTGGTAAACAAGCTAGAATATATATCAAGTTTGTTCTTAAGTAGATTCATATTAAAGTCGCCTAAAATTTGTTAAATACGATAGTTTAAAACTAAATGAGTGTCAAGTGTTCTACTTGTTTTTTTTTATATTCAACTGTTACTGGAAATATTCAGTTTTTATGTGTGCATGTTGCTGTCTGTTTTGTTTGGGTTCTTTTGGATTTTTTGAAGATTGCCAGAGAGTGTCATTAAGTTTTCTTAATATTTTGTCTCTAACTAATGCATTTTGGAGTAATTCAAATTTAATGAGAATTAATAAACAATTTAATTACTTGTCGGGGGTGTGGGGGCACTTGTAATATCTTGTAACTATTCATAGGGTTTCTGTAATCAACTCATCATTTCCAACTAACAAACAGGTCCATTCATGAAAAACATATACAAAATATTCAACTGTTTAATAAATACCATTGAACTGTCTTTCTCAACCTTCTTCTTCTCTTTTTTTTTTGTGATTTTAGTTTTTTATTACTATGTTCTTCGTATTAAAAAATATATAGACAAGCAACAATTAAGCTCAATACTGAAGTTAATCACACAACTTATGGGTAATGAAATTTTAACTTCAGCTTACAAGGGTATACCGTTTCTTTTTGTGTTTTTTTTTAAGATGTATAACATTTAAGCATTTCCAGTTTCGCGAAGGAAAGTGGTGTCGTGTCTCGCAGATACACATGAGGAAACGAAATCTAACAAAATTCCCATACATTAATCATGATTTCATTTCTCAAAGCTATGGCCCTTTGGGAAGCATTTGTTTTCAATCAATTAGCGCTTAACTTGTAATCAAAATCCGAATGAATTTGATAAGGTTTCTCTATCTTTCATATTTGTCGACTATTCAGACATACATATAGTTATAGTTATATAAGAAATGTACGTATGTCTCAAACTAGTTTCACAGCTTTCCAAAGCATTTTCCTTCATTTCATCCATCATTTTTCCTTGTGTGTTGTAGTATTTTAGTATGTTTCCTATGTGTGTGTTTTCATCTTTTTCTAATCATCATTTGCCATTTATTTTCATGTTTTCTTTTAGCCAAAAATGTATCTTAATTTATTGTTAATATCATCTTTTGTATTTTTGTTTTCCTTTTGTAATTCATGTGCAAAATCTATTATCAACTTTATATTTTGGTTTTTGACGGATCAGCGTAGATCACCTTTTATGCATTACCCAAATATACGGCTTGGTTTTTGCTCGATTAATGAAAGTTACAAAAATGTGAGATATATTTCGTATTCCTGTTTCGAATATGGCCTCACTTTTTGGACGGGTCTTTGCGGTGATGTTTGTCCCATTTTCTATATTTATTTTTATTTTTATGATTGCATGATGTTTTCGAAATATTGCAAAGTTCTCTTGGTTTTTTTTGAATGCAAAACAACAGTATGATGTTTATTCTTTTTCTTTTTTGTTTTGCTTTGTGGGGAAAGGCAGTGAAAGTGTTTTATAGAAATTATTTTTAATAGGTGTTCATGCAGCTTCATGATATTGCTATGAAATCAAAAGTTCAAGCATAGTCAAAGTGGGGATTTCGCATAGCTTTTGGGTATTAGAGAGAGTATTATTCATATATGTTTAGGTATTGCATAATGTCATTTTTGTTTTGTTTTGTAGGCTGTATTACGTATTATAATTGCTTGCATTTTTATGCTTTTCAGGCGAGTGTCCTCTCGTCTGCTGTCGCCTAGACACTCTCCTCCTTGCTGGCGCTGCTGCCCCAGAATCGATCGAAACGGTCGCGTGCCTTCTCCAGCACCTCGGCGGCTGTGGTGCGAGCCGTCGATGCAGTGCCCGTTGACGAGGACGATGACATAACCTGATCCTGCGGCTGATCCACCGGCTGCTGCTGGCGCACAGCTCCGCCTGGAGCTACATGGGGCGTCAAGGTTTTGCCATAGACAGCACCTCCACTGGTCGTAGGACTGGACGACTTCCAGGCTATGGGGATGGCAGTGGTTTAAGAGGTTTGGATAGGGGGGGAGATAGTTTTGGAAATAGTGTTTATGTTACGCAAGGATCTACGTTTATTTTTCGATACGCTATGTGATTGGCTTGCACTTTTTAGGGTTTTGGTTTTTAGGGGTTTACAGAGAGGCGGAACTTTGCATTATATTTACGCTTATTGAGAGATTTTGGCTTGATTTTTGCTGGTGTTATTTTTTTGTTTTTTTTGTTTTTTGAAGAAGTTGAACGTTTGGCTAACGATGATATCGATTTTGGTATTTGGATGATGGTTTTGTGAGTAGCGATACATACATATACATATACAGATACATATATAAATACGAGTTAATATATAAATATTTGTAAAAGCGATTCGACTTGGTTTGGTTTTTTATGGTATCATTTTTGTTGGTTGACTTCGTTTTTTTATATTTTTTTGCTGATACTTTTGGTATGGAAGTTTTTTTTTTTGCGTTTTTTATTGAAGCGTGCTTAATGGCTTACCGTCCATTTTAGCCTGTTCGGTTAGTTGTGGCGGTGCCGATTGTGGTGGCGGTGGTGGTTTCTCCACCGGTGTCGATGCTTTTATCTCGCTCTGAGGTCGGCTATAGTTCTCTCCTGAAAATAGACATAAATTTATAGTGATATTCCACAAATAAATTCATGTATACTCTACCATCTTTAACATTCTGGGTAACCGTAAAGGTCTTGCCCGTATCCAGGGGCACAGTCCAGTTGACTGGATCGGGCGAACGCATTATAATCTGCTCCGGCGACTTTACCCGAGTGGGTTCCGGTGGTGACTTCACCAATGGCTCCTCGGGCACTTCGGGTACCAATGGCGGCTGTGGACTGCAGCTGGAAATTGAAATTGCAGTCTCACGACCATCCTCGCCATCGTCTGTTGGTTTTTGCAAAATATCCAAAGAGATATATCAATTTTAGGTATGAATACATTTGTGGAACGAGTGAAACTATGAAAATAACTTGATTATAGGCGCATTTTTTTATGTTTGATTTATATCTTTATATTGTATATGCTGCTGCAGCTGTAGAACTTCATATATATCTTCTTTTTTTCTCTTTTCTTTTTTTTATTGTTTAGCAAAATTTGTGATTGAGTTTTTACTGGTTAGTAGTTGTAACAGAAAATCGAAAATGAACATCATAGATCAAACAAAAAATATTAAGGGAACTTAGGAGAACTTAGGTATATTAAGCCGGAAGCTTAAAAGGCAACAAAATTGTTAGTAGAAATTAATAAACAAAAAAAAATAGAATTCTCTTGCTTTTTTGTTGATTTTTTTTTGTTGAGATTTTTATAAAGCGCACAACATGAAAGAACGGCATGCCACAAATACACAAACAGACACGCAACATTTAAAAGCGTGAAAGTTCTAAAAAATGCAGGGAAATTAGAAAGGGGAAATAATGTTATTTATGTTTTCTTATGGCTGTTGTTTGCTGGGTGAAAAATGTAAGAGGCAGAGACGACAGGCAACAACGACGATATCGACGACAGCTTGGGAATGTATTAAACCTCATATGAAGAACATCACTTTATAATATATCAAACCAACCTTTAAATTAACCATTTTTAAGACTCATTTATGCGCTGAAATTTTCTGATATTTCTATCTGGAAAATTGTATAGAATCTAGGATCCATACAGTTGGATTTAATGTTGTAATGGAAATTTGGTTCATCTCTGAGTAAATTTAATCCCACATCAAGAGCTAGATCCTTTAACTTTTTTCTAGATCATTTCTATTAAATGTTTTTCTAGCATATATATCTTTTCTTCTAGTGTCTGTGTCTAGTATTGTGTTCGAGTGTTTCACTGTAGAGTTATGGTATTCAAAATCAAACTATGAGTAAGGGATCTCTAGACAAGTATGATCACTACTTTATAAGTATATATTTACATACACAAAAAAAATAAAGAATAGTAGAGTACATAGAGTAGTACACACAGAACAGAGATTTATAGCCACATAGAGAACACAATGAAAAAACTACAAATGATGAGACGCATAGTACTATATATGCAAACGATCTTAATACAATATATACATAGACACACGGCTGGAATACACTACATTTACAAACATTGATGACAACAACAACTAACATTTATTAACAATGCATTTTGCTCTTTGGTTTTAACCACAATTGTTTGCAATAAAAGAATTTTGGAAATTTTAATGAAATTTTGAATTTCTTTGGGCCAGTGGAATAACGAGGTTGCAATACATTTTTCAACACAGTTCTAAACTACAAAATTTTCACAATATAATTTCTAATGCCAATCGATCTAAGACACACACATGATTCCACATGGCTCGGGGTTTCAGAACATAAAACATTTATTGGGTAGGCTTGTATCTAATTGTGAAGCCCATTCTGATGCCAATTTTTTAAATGATAATATGGTGTACAAACAGTTTTGGCCAAGGTGTAAAATGCTCAATTATTAATAGTTTTTTTGGTTTTTTTTTTAGTTTTACAAAAGTTGCAACACAAACATTTCGCGCATCAGATGTCATTTTACAGCATTTTCCGTATATAATTTATGTATTTTTTTATTTATTTTTATTTGGGATTTTTATTTGAAGAGATTTCAAGATTCAAGTTTTCGGTGAAACTTTACTCACTTTCAGCCAATTTTCTATCCTGACCTGGTACCGTGAGCCGTTTGATGTTGATGGTTGCAGGCCGGATGGGATTTTGAGACGAGGATGTTGCTGATTGAGGAGATGCTGATTGAGCTGTTGATTGAACTACTGGTTGAGATGTGCCTGCCGTGGCGGCTGTGGCTGCTGCTACTGTTGTTGATGTTGCTGCTTGTGTTTTGTCTGATGTTGCATCAATCTTTTGTTGCTTTTCTTGCTGCTGTAGTTGCTGTTGCTTTTGTTTGTTCTGCTGATTTTTGACACTATTCGTCTGACTACCGCTACCAGCACCAACAGTACTACCAAAACCAATGCAACTAATATTCGATCTATCTTTGTCTGTCTTACGCATTTGCTGTTGTTGCTGTTGTTTCTGCTGCTGTTGATGTCCCGCTGTTGCAGATGTCGCAGATGATTTCAGAATTTTGTTGGTTCTGCTGGGTCCATGGGCTGTCTTTGGTTTTGATGTTTGTGATTGATTGGCATGAGGCTGATTAGCATTTAAAGTTGATTTTGTTGCAGATGCTGCTCGGTTTGCTGTTGCAGTTGCAGTTGCTGTCGGCGCAGAGGCTACTCTACCATTAGGCGGTGGCAGGGAACTACTTTTAATGCGGGATTGGAATGTTGTGGATAGGGTGGCTATAAAAACGTAAGCAAGTTTTCGGTTTTTTGTTTCGGATATTTTTCGTCGGTTTCGTATATATTTTTTTTTATCATTTTTAAACCGAAAACAAAACGCACATGAAAAAAATATATTGTTAAATGTATTTTTCATTAGAAAAGTTGTTCTTTTTTTGGTTTATGACGAATCAAGAATACAATCAAAGCAAAGACTAAAGAAATATTCAGAAAATCAAAGATTAAAAAAAAAGAAAATCTTTCAAAGATAAACAAAAATCAAATGGTGTTAGTGAGAACACGTTTGAACTTAGTTTTTGGTTACCAACTTATAATTGTTAGTATTACTTAAATAGGAACATCTATTGGAACGATGGGGTTTCATTGTTGGCTGAGAATATCTCATGAATACTGTGCCCCTATTTTTGTATATTTATATTCATATATTAACAAATATTACACAATATCTAGGGCTGGTTTAAAAGCCAACAACGTCACACACTTAAGGTTAGTTTTTGCTTTGGGGAAAAACGAAATAAAAATTAAAAACAGAGGCAACAACACTCAATTGGAATTGTTAGCATTACTTTAAATTACTTACAATTAAATTTAATTGTTTTATTGTTTTAGTTTTGTTAATTTGTTTTGTTAGTAGTTTGGTTTTGTTCGCTTCAACATGCTAAAAACTATAGATTTTAGTTATTATGTTACTCGAAAGACCAATCAAACGCTTCATTACAGAGAGAACAATGGAACCGAACTCAAGTGGGGGGAACAAAACGAATATAAATCAATGAAAAACTGCATGACCAGAGACTAAAACTAACACAAACAAAGTTTAAACAAAGTACTGGTTAATGATTCTGTAATTATGTTAGTTATTAGTTTCGTTAGACACTTATCTAGATTGTCGATTGTTTCTAGAGGAGAGATGTGTTCCAAAAAACTAACTGAGACTATGAACAGATCTTGCAAATCAAGATTAAATTAATGCTAAAACCAATGAAATAAAAATTCCAATCAACACATGACATTATGCAAACTAGGTCTAAAGTAAGTTCCAAACTAAAAATAAAAATAAAGGCAATGAAGGCCTCTCGTTACGTCGTTTTTGTGGGGAAATGCGGGGAATGTGGGTTTCGGTAGTGCTGCTCTATTTTTGGACTACTTACATGGGCGTGTCTTACGCTCGCTTCCGGCCGCTGTCGTGGCTGAAGTTGGTGTCTTTTTGCGGCTCGCCGTGGGGGCCTGTGAGGCCGACCGTATCTGTCGCTTTGGGGATTCATTCTCAGCGACGCCCGGACCGACCGACTGGGAGCGTGCTGCACGTACAGCACCACACACATTCCCAACATGGCAACACCGAACAGATGAGGATGGTTTTGTTTTCGATTTTTGATCGTTTTTTTTTTTTGCATTTCATTTCGTTTGGTTTTTTATATTTTTTGAACGATTTTTGTTGTATGGTTGGTGGTGGTGGCGGTTTGATTGATGATAAAAGTACGGTTTGGTATGTTTTAATTTCAAAAATTCGCATTTTTCATTAGAATTTCATATTGCTTATGATTTGTATTCTCTCTACTGGTGAAGTTTTTGTGGTGGTGTGACTTATTGTACAAGAGAAAGTGTTGTTGATGCAAGGTACTACAAAAAAATACTCCCTTAATCGTTAATTTCTGGCAGAATGTCAAATATTCGGATGCGCAACAAAGTTCTAAAACGATTTCTGACGACATAACCTGTGTATGTCTCTCTACTTAAAGTTTAGATTAAGCTTCACTATCTCTACCGCCATCTCCTGCATTTTCATTCGAAATATGGCTTCAATTTATCTAATATACAGCCACGACTATATGCCTTGACTAAGTATCTTAATGGCTAGTTAACAAAGAAAATAACGCAGTTTCAATTAGGTTTGTTTCTAGACTTCTCTGAAAAGCTAAAATTTCCATAAATTCTTGTTTAAACCTCTGTATCACAAGAAGAAACCTCAATCATTAGAATCACACTTTCAATATTTACAGCTAACTGTCAGCCTATCTTCTGGTATCTTCTTATCAAGAAAAAAAAAACAATAAAGCAATATATACACCATATAGCGACATGAACATGAGGGCCACACATCGATCAGAGTAGCCTTAACTTAAAAATTAAACAAAGACAAAAAACTCCATTACTTACAACCTAAGTACGTATCTGCAAAATTGTCTCTACAAACATGTGTCCGAAATGTATTACATGATTCAAAACTCTTTTTTCAGAACACAAGACCTCAAGGTATATAGAAATATAAATACTTATAACAAGGAAACTACATAAAAGTTTTGTGCAAGAAAATCTCATAGCCCAACAAGTAGTCTTCGGTGCACACTCGTAAAGGATGTGAAACAAATCGAATCCTTTGCAATGAGTGGAATGGAAAATATATAGGTATGCAAATCAAATGATTGAAGCATTTGAGCAAACTATGGCAAAAAAGGAAATCATAGGATAACGGGGCGTATACTTATTGTTTGGGAGCGTGTGTACAATTGTTCTGTGACAGCTTCTGTGTTGCACTTATGAGAGTGTGCATATATTGTTGTGTACTTGTGTCATTTTGTTGCTTAGAAAGTACATTTTTCTATTTCAGCTATGGTTAATTTTGTCGGTATTTGGATGTGTACGAGTATATCTTCTTCTGAAGTCGAGAGAACAAATGGCAAAGAGCAAGAGCAGATGTCTACTCACATTTCAGAACCTTCTTGGGACTGCCTTTTTGGGGACTGCCCTTCTGGGGCGATCCATGCCTGGAGAGTGCCGTCTTTTTTGGGCTACCTCTCTGTGATTCCGATTCCCTCTTGGTTATGGCTGGCATCAGTTTCTCGCGGGTGGGCGAAGGCAGCAAGGCGCCCTCTTCCACGTCTAGAAAAGTGCCAATATTAGTGGTTTAAATGGGGAAAAACTAGGGGGCTGGACCAACCCGGACCCGTGGTGCGTTCTAAATGATGGCGTATATTGCTAAAACGTGCTGGCAGTGCTGAAATCTCATCTTTATTATCAACCAAATAGGCTTGACCAGGAACTCGGGGCTTAAGTGGTGTCTTCGGCAATGGTGCTGATTTCTTATTATTTTCCTGTTCCTTCTCCTCCTTTGTAATGGGTCTTTAATAGAGGATTTTAAATGTATATTATTAGTTTTATTTAGGATCTAGGGCGTTTAGTATTACCTATGCACAGTCGAAGCTAAAGATAATGCTGAAAGGGAGCTGCGCCTTGAAACCTGATCCCACAGATCCTTTTGCTTCTTGTACAAATCCGGATCAATCTCCCTGCCCCAACCACGGCTCTACAATAGGAGAATATATAAAGATACATAAAAGGAATATATATTATATACTCCTACCTTATATTCCCCAGCCTTTTTGCGTAGTTCAACCATATCCTTGAACCACAAATCTAAATTCGGTTTAGAGTGCGGCGGATCGGTGCCATTCATGACCACCACATGGCCGGAATCGGCTGAATGTCCATGCTTATTGTCCACCTCATCCTTGAAAGCGGCATCGGTAAAGCCAAAGTTCTCCTTTTTCGTAATAAAATGATTCACACGCTCGTGATCGATGGCCTGCGAAAATGGACGTGACTTCCGCTCCACGATGGTCACTTGTCTGCGAAAAACATATGAAAAGGATCATAAGCTTTGTGGAAAAACTATAAAAAGGAGATAGGGGAACAACTGTGCATCTTGATGGCTGCTGGCATGCAACACTTTGCAACATGCATGTGGATGAGTGGGGAGATTGAGATGTGATGCTGCTGATTTCGGGTTCGGGTCTACATGAAGTGGACATCATCGAATGAGAATGGCAGAAGCTCTGACTGTCGATTGGGTTTATCTAAAGTGAGGTAAAGCAAACGTGTACATACTTCTCGTGCGTTTTTCTATCATCCGTATCGCTAACCAACGGCTCCAACTCATGTAGAGTAGCTGAAAGCACACAGATATGAAATTTAATGCTGCTATCCATACACGTTCGAAAGCTTTATACAGATTCATCCTGCATGTACATTAAGATAATCGAAAATATATATATATATTTATATGTATTTATAGGAGAAACTAAAGGTGGAAATAAAGGAGCTTCAGCAAAAGTTAGTTTTGTTGTTGTTTGTTTCTTTTTCTTCTTTTGCAAAGTGTCTAAGTTTTGGGAACTCAAGGGAACAAAGTTTTAATTAAGGTGATCTTCTTATTAATTGTACAGCAAATAATTGAGCCGGAAGCAGCGCCTTGGTGGGTTAGTGGTTTAGTGATTCAGTGGTTTGGTGGTTGGCTTTTACTTTTCGGGTGTTTTTTTTTTTTTGGAAAATGCAAAAAGTAAATAACTTTAAATGAAAATCAAATTTGTGTGTGTTTGTTTGGGTTGGCATTGAAACAAAACAAAAATAATAAAATTATATGTCGAAAATGACTTGACTGAAGCGTGTTTGGCATGGGTAATCCTTCAATTTTGGGTTTGCTTTTTTGTTTGAGAATATAGAACGAAATTCAAACCAATTTATTTTTATGTAATATATTTTTTTATGTATAAATTCGAGTTGAATGCACCTTATTAGTAATATATTTTTAGTTGCTGTAAGCACTACATCCAATTTGTTTGTACACTATGTGAAGCTCGTTTCGCTGTAAGCTGAAGGCGTCGCAAGACCAAAGCAGTTTTTTATTTTGCATTTTAAAGCCACTAATTTTGCACTGAGATGCAGATGCACTTAACGATTTAGCAGATATATAGAGAGTAGAGGGGATAATGGTATTTCTATTTCCGTTTCCATTTTGTCTTACCTATGCGCTTGCACTGTTAATTTTGTTTTTGTTTTTGGAGAACGTTCATGTTAAAGCCCCCTGCCAATTTTCCTAACTGAATGATACATGTGTGTGGGTAAACGATATACATATGTATATGTACGTATGTATGTATAGTATGTTATGACTGACTGATGGATGGTTTATTCTTGTGGTATGACACTCTAGTAATTTCGTTTCACACATGCAACGAAACTAAGGCCAAACAACTCCTATTCCTCCAAACTGAACTGAAAATGTACTTATAAAAGGTATCACACAACCTCTGCGGCCACAACATGCTCCGACTACACTTTTGCTAGTTCATCAATTGATTCATTCATCCCGGTTAAATTGCATTGACATCCATACAATATTCATTATAGTTGAAGCACGTACTCGTATTCGAGTTCATTTTGAGGGCTCATTCAAGGCAATTTAACGGTTAGCATGAATACAAAAATTTATGTGTCTTTTTTTTTGGTTTCGTTAGCACTAATATTAATGAAATTTAGTTCAACACTTACGTCAGCTTTTGGCTAAAAAGATATTCTTGAATGTGTTTTTAACTTTTGTTTATATGTATGTATAGTTTTCGGTTTTTCTTTTTTTTCATTGTAAAGGAATTTAGCATAATTTCGTTCTATATGAAATAGATTTGAAAGATAGTAAAAAGTATTTTGCTAACTGCTTGAAATGAAAAAGTAAACATTAGTCCATAAAAGCGTTCAACAAAATATTGGCTTGTATATACAGAAATCATAAAGAAAAAAAATATTAATAAGTTATACTAGGAATAGTACGAGTATCTATCTTAAAGCTGAGAGCACTGTATACATATATAAAGAGGTATATATGATAAAGCATAAATTTACGACGACGTGTACATAAAAAACTTGATTTAATTCGCATTTTTTTAATAAATTGTTTTTTTTTTGTTTTCTTTTAGTTTTGTGGCAGTGCTGAGAGTTGGAGAAAAGTTTTAGCTACATTTACCAACACTATTCAACAAAGATTTCTATTCGATTTTTTGTTCTTGTATTTTTTTTTATCAATGCTGCTGGCACTGCACAAATTTTTCATTTAAAAATCATCTTGAAAAATAAACAAATTTACTCTTTCCACACACAAAAAGGTTAGTAACACAAGATAGTTAGTTTTTGTTTCGTGAATTAGTTGGTTACGTAAAGAAAATGATTAGAAATCAAATGGAAATTCATTTTTAGTAGTACGCTCATTGGATTGTTTTTTAGTATTACATATAGAGAGTATTATTTGAAAGAAACTATGCGCTAATAGGAAATGTATTCTTTATCAGTTTTTTTTGTTTGTTTTTTTTTTTTTGTTTTTTTAGTATTTTAAATAAATGCTTAGCGACGACAATTTGTTGTCGCACCTTCTTTCTGATTTGTTGTACGTTTTTTATGCACCGTTGGCAGACCTGCACCCATCACCGAATGATGGGCTTGACTGTGGCCGTGTGTCTGGGTCTGGTTTAGACTCTGATTCTGGCTCTGAGCGTGACTGTGGCTCTGACTGGATCGCAGGGCGCCCAATGAGATACTCTTTCGAGGGTAATCGCCGGCCGCGGCCTTAGGCGTCGCCTCGCCGCCGCCCTTAATCCGCCGGACATTCGGCCAAACGAATTGCAGGCGGTACTCTGTGCTCAGTTTTGAGATGGTCTTTCGAAATAGGCCATTTGACTCACCCGCCTGCGAAATAGAAGAGCAGAAATAACACATAACGCAAAAGGGGTTGACAAAATTAAGGGAGAGAAAAATGGAAAGAGAAAAGATAGAGCATTGCATTGTCGCATTGAGTGTGAGAATAAGTTATATATAAATATTATAATTTACGTATAAATATTATCATTATTATATATAGACGATGATCAGAGAACACATGTAACATAGAGAAGATGAAGACGAGACCGTGTGTAAGTCATGGAATAGTCATGGAAACGGAGAAACAGAGAACGAGAACGAGAAAGAGAAAGAGAAGAAATACACACAATACAAGTATAAATTGTAAATTTTGAATATCTATCACTAATTGATTGTTTAATATTCGTTTTAAATTTATTGATTAATGCGGATACATAATAAAATAATAATGATAATATATTCATCCTTATAAACCTCCCAATCTAATCTACATGTACTCTACATAAATCACAGACAGAATTCCCACAGAACGTTGCAAGTATTGAAAGGATATCAAGGATGCACAAATGGAAAGTGCCTGCAACGGTTGCAACAATAAAAAGAAATCGATACACAACTTATGCAAATGTTGAAGAGTTTTTCAGATTAAAATTGTACATTCAGGTCGAGTACATGGCTGACTAACTGACAGACGGACTGACTTGATTGTCTGACAACTTCATGGCACAGCTACACACTGCATGAAAGTGCAAATGTACATGAAAATGTTACCCATTGCCACAAATGGCGAGACGAGTTACAGAATGTTCAACAACATGTTCAGCACATGGAAAATGGCCAACAAAAGGGCCCCAGAAAAGTTATAGACAGGAATGGCGGAGGGAGAACGGACATTCAGGCTGATAGACAGGACAGGCGACAGGACTAATAGAAATTGTTGCGCGTTGGACGGTTGGCAGTTCGCAGGTCCCGGTTCAATGGTCCGAAGCGCGTCCTATCTCTGATCGGAAACAAGAGACAATTTTTTCTCGCTTTTCATGTTTTTTTTTTTTAGATGGTTCTTTATGTGGCGCCACGAAAGAAGAGGCAAACAAAATGATGGGCGTTGCCGCTGCAGGTATATTTCCGATAGGAGTCTACTCCTAATGAGATTCACAATTGATGTCTGCAAACTGATATCGACATGCATTACATTCAAAACTCAACCCAAGTATAACACAGACAGATATATATATATATATTCGGATAATGGATGTGAATCCAATCCATTTGACAATTGTGTACCTGTTTTCTTGTGGCTCCATCGATCTCCGTTGCAGCGGGATAGGCACGTCCATTGGGCACAACGGGTGGTCCCTCCGATTTGCTGCGACGCGAAGGTGTCCCACCGCGCTCTTCCGACTGCAAAATACACACACATACACACATATATATAAAGGTTTATATAGTACGATGTATAGTTAATTAGCTGGTCATTAATATTACGCATACGCCCTGTTGACGTGCGTCATCAGGTGAAACTCAATTAATTATGTATTGTCAGGGTGTGCATGATAGTATGACAAAAGCAAACAGACCCTACGCTTGGGTACAGGTATCTCGAATGTCCTTGCAACACGTGCCGCTCGCTGTGTGCCTCATTATTAATTAGTCTAGAGAGAGAAGCAGGAAAGGACCAGGGCCCCACCTTATATGAGATTTTTTTTGTGCTGTGTGTGTGCTTTTCGTGGCACTTTTACAAGCACCACACCACGACTTAAGCGAATTAACCCTAATGCCAACCCTGGCATAAAGGCAAACCCCATTCAAATGCAAATAAATATGGCAGTATATAGAATTTCAAACAAACATTAAAAAAACCATGACCTGCAGTGAATGCTCTTTAATTTCTAATTAAAATATAAATTTAAAATAATTGTCAGAGATAATTAAGTTCAATAGCTTTTCACACGAGTTTTGTAATGATAAAATCAAATGGCATTGAAATTAAATATATGGCAAACGATTATATGACCAACCAGATTATAGAGTATAACAAATATACTACCCTCTAGTGCTCTTTTTCGTGCACTTTTCCATTTCCCTCATGGACCTCTTCAAATGTCAAAAGAGCATTAAGTTTGTATGTGGGCCATAAAATGAAAATACCATTATATACTCGTACTCGTATGGAGGTCCTTCTCATAGAATTCTGTTCTAACTCGTTCATGGGCACAGCGAAATGCACAATAATTTTTGCATTTTTATTTGCAGACAACCTAAGCTTCAGCTACGAATGCTCCCATGAGGATTTGAATTTAAAAGAAAAGTACGTGATTGCATTAGGAAAATTAAACGTGAGAAAATATCTGGTACTTAGGTGAGTTTATATCGATAAAGAAACGAAAGCATATGGCTGCCCATTAATATATGGAATACCTTTGAATAGATGGAATACCTTTGAATACCTTTTCTCCATTTTATGCCCCAAAATATCCGACAAATAAAGACCCATCTCATAATATCAAGACCCTTTCTTATTCTGCTTCCTTGTTGACAACCTCATTTTATACGAATTTCTCCACATAATAAATATGAACAATTCGCAAAGATTCTCCCAGCCAATCCACTCCTCTGCCTTGACTGCAAGTCCTTATCCTTTCTCTCTTTCTCTGGGTATAAATATATCTTGCACCTGGCGCATTTTTCGCAAGGGAAAGGTCATGGCATGGTGAAAGGGAGGCTCTGCGAATCGAGTGAAATATGGATTAAGGGATGAGAGAGACACTTACCCTCGCCAGACGATGTGCACTGGCATCTCGTCGTGCATCTGTATATTCCGAACCTATAATAAACTCATGCGATTTATATGCTAATTCTGGACATTTTTTCCGACGCGGCATTGACGGCTCATTTGTCGGACCTGCAAATGCAGAGAATCCAAGGGAATCGAATAAGAAAGAGGTCAATAAATAAGGCTGTGTGACATGTCTGCCAAGAGAAATGTCTTTCAATATACGCACCATCAAATTGACTTTGATTTGGGGCTGGCGCCCGTCGCACAACCTCTGGCCGCGAGTTGCCCGTAAATTCATGCCAACGATAAGTGCTCCTATACTCCGAGTGGAGCTGCTGGAAAGAAAAGATATGGATATACCATGGTTAAATCAGGCATTAAATGGGGTATTTATACATATATTTTAATTAAAGATTGTCCTTGCTGTTGAAAATGTTCGATTTTAACAATTAAAAGTAGGAATTAAACAAAGGATTTCAAATGTTAAGCTATTAAGAATGAAATACGGAAGTATTACGACTAGGCATTACCCACTATAGAGATTATTTCATTGCTTAATAGAAACAACTACATTTCTGTTCTCAAAAACTATTTAATCTGAATAATTTTTGGTAGATAGCTGGGAACACCACAGCCTTTTCTATGGAGCCCATTGCTAAAATGTTAAACGATTAAAATGTGTTTCTACTTTCAATAATGACAGTACTAAAGCTTTAATGGTTTCTGCGAACAGAGAACTACATCCTTCAACATGAAACCGCATGCCCCATCATTAATGGGGGTTTCTCTATTCATAAAAATAATTACAAGTACCAGCACACGCATGACAACCAAACAATGGAAACCAAAAGCCGCACCACAGTCACATATGCCTGACATGGAAATATTTTCATTTGCCATGGTCAGAACCCCTCTGGCCAGAACCGAGCTAACAATTGGCCAGTTAGTCAAACGGGTTTCGGGCGCTCGGCCAAACTGCGGTTTGTGTCGCATTTCAATGCAGCAAACAGTCCAACTGTCCTCCCACTTTCTCTCCATTGCGACTGCAGCCATTTGATAATTGCGACAACTGCCAGTAAAAAGGAAAATCCATATTAATAGCCAATTTTTCCACCAGTACCAGTACCAACAACACTTACTGGTATATTGTGCTACTGCTTTTATGGCTACGCCAACCGCGTATCGATCCTTAGCCAAAGGACTTTGAGACACTTGCATGTAAGCTGTAAATTGGGTTGAAAACTCCACGGAAAACCCACTAAGACAACCGACCGTCAGACATTTTCAGGACATTCTAGTGAAGCAGTCAGGACAGTAGTCGATTTAATTATGCCTCAGCTTGGAGTGGAGTTCCTTACCCTTTTCGTTTCGATGGAATTTATATCTACCGTGAGCTTAACTTTCGTTGTCTCCTTCGTCGTTTCCTGTTCCACTTTCTGTGTGTGTTTAGAGCGCAAAATAATTGGCTACCAGCACGCAATGTCAAAGGACAAAGTACATCAGTCATTTGCTCTTTGCCTTCTTTTTGTTTCTCGAGTTTAATTTTAATTTTTAAACAGATAACCAAAGCTAAGCTAATTGGAAGACATCAACAAGAGTCATATAAGCTTTTAAATGTACAAAAAAAATGTACATCAAGTTCAGTGAGTAAATATTTGAAAAGGTTGCCAATGTTCTCATTGGTATTGAATATTTATTTAATTTAATTTTAAAATATATTTCTAGCAAAGGATCTCATGATAAAGATGAGAACAAGGTATATCGGAATATTATATAAATATTCTTAAGTCTTATACTCTCATTCTTATTTATTATTAACGCAGATTTCTAGCCAAAGCTGTTAAAGATCAATAAACAAAAGCCATTTAATTTACGCTTTTAATAAGAAATAATTAGGGTCATTTTAGCCCACCTCCTTCAGCACGCAACGAACCATAACTTTACTCAATTAAATACCATAATTAGACCACAACAACACTCACGCTCTCACTCTCTCGCTCTCTCTCTCGCTCTCTCTCTCTATTAAGAACTTCCCATCAATTAATTTCTGCTCCCCAATCAATGACCTCTTGAACAATTAACCCAATTGCGGCCTAAAACTTCTTCTTCCGTCTAGACGCACACTCTCCAGCTATCGACAAACGCTTCAACTCCCCATAGGCAAAGCAACCAATTAAAAACTCCATTACAAATCAATTCCTTGGGTAATAAATAAGGTTTATTTGGCACGGAGGAAACCACCTTTAAGGGTGAGGTAAGGTGTAAGCGTAGTGCCGCAACCACTCCAAAATACCATATTCCGCCCGGCACGCACTTCATGCATAATTTAGTCGTTTGTCGTGTGCCGGTAGCTCACTGTAATCGAGCCTCCAGTGAAAGAGTGCTACAGAGAGGTCTATGAAGAGGTGAGGCCTACTACTATGAGGTTCGTTTGTCATATGAATTGGTAGTTGATGTCAGGGGCGTCGCCATCGAGCATGATGCTAATGGTTTTGTACGGTATTCGATGGAGGACTCTGTCTGAGGTATTGGATGGGCACTCGAGTGCCACGTGTCGGTGTCTGGCTCCCACACCTGCACCGCACACTCACATTGTTAGGTACTATATTTATTGGCCATCCTGCTAGTACTCGTATCTCTTCGGCAGCTGCAACAACTATTTATCATGGATATGGCAGCAGCAGAAATAAAACAAAAAAAAACACTTATATACATATATATATCTCACCCTGATTTATGTTTCGTGGTGGCACCAATTGATTGCGGTTGCACTCTGGCATAAATATTTAAATATGGTTTTATTTTTGGGTAGGTCTATTAAAAATGTATGTGCAGCAAACTACATTTATGCCATGCGTTTAAATCGTGTGGGAAAAACATTTTACCTAAAAATGTTCCAACATTTATGCTAGAGAGAGAGACAATCCCACCGCAGGGAGACACTTAGCCGCAGACGCAGCAGTAGGTAGTTGGTCTACGTGTCTGCTCAGTGATGTTGAAGTCCTGATAAGCCTGGTGACATCGCAACTATCCCCCACAGAGAGTGGCAGACAGACCAGTGAGACATGAGATGAGCAGGCTTGACATATTTTAATTAAAATTTTAAATTCTGAAGAGTTTAATTATGATTTAAGAGCGGAAAAACCTTGGATGCAAGTGAATTTTTATGGCCGGTTAAAACGATAGCCATTTACATGTCACTTTATTTTGCCAAATGCTCCAATTTGTGGGGTAAAGTAAGTAAAGAGTTGTAAAGAGTTAATGTTGGAATAATATACCATAATACCACTCATTTTTAGGCTACAAAAATGGTTGCAATCCTTAGATCAATGCACCAATTTGTTGTGGTTCCTGTCCCATAAATAACCACCGCTGCTTTTGAACCCCACACAATCTTAAATATTGCTTTTCTTGTGTATGACCAATTTATGGGATAAGAATGTCGGTATGAGTGCAATATTTTTCATAGCATACTTTCCAGCGTCAGCTTACACTGCACCATAATCCCCACAAAACCCACACACGCACACTGACCACATATTTATAGCAGTCACTATATGTGTGTGTGTGCGTCTGTGAGTATATTTGAAGAGTATTCGTGTGCGTGTTTAATCTACCCAAAGGGACCTTTCAAGTTTTATGCGGGCCAAAACAAGCAAAATGACACCTTAGAAGCATAGTTATCGCCTCACAGATCCCCCCCAGATCCTTGTTTTGCGGTCATACATGGGGCACTGTCTGTCTGTATTTGTGCAGGGGTCTGGTTTCTTTGAAGTGGAAACAAGCATTTCTGGGAAAGCAAACGATAATTTTCCACACCAAAAGGTTTGTTTGAAGAGTGTGTGGAAAGTTAATAAGAATATATTAGAAAATAAATAACTACATGCAGGCACGTAATATTTCCTAATTTCTAGAGATCTGCCTAAACCTTATAAGGCGCGTTAGATGTTGCACTCTAACTTCTACCTTAAAATTAAACATTTCCCTTATGCAAAGTTACATGTAAAATGTTGCACTAAAGTTTTCCGCCGCCATCAAATAGTAATTTTCTCTTATCTTAAATGAATATTTGTTGAACAAACTTCCATTGTTTGGGCAACTTTTGGTGCAGCCCTCGCTTAGTTGTTTGTAAAGTTTTTTCATTTACATTTAGTTTACGATGCATTTTTGCCATTTGACACCATTTGGTCTGGCAAAGACACCACCTTGTCTGAGTATCGTACACTTATCTGTGTGCCTGCGCTTTCTTTTATGGTTTCCACCTGGCAAACACTCACACACACACACACGAAACACCTACTCTGGTGACCAGCTGTGTGGCTGACCGAACGAGCAGGTTGGATGTCTGCCACTGCCCCAAACACACACACACACACTCACACACAGTCTTTTCTGTGGTGCGTGCCTTTGTGCCACTGTGGTTTAGTTTAGCTCGATTGCTCAACTAACCAGCGCCTATGGGGCCCCTGGCTGGTACTCACAGTTGGCTGCCAAGACTCGATGGATAGGCCTGGCTTTATAGCCTATCTCTGTCTGCTTGTTTGCATTTTGTCTGCAGCAGCAATTAATATACTCAGGATTGGCCCCTGGCCCCCAGGCAGAGGCATGCCACTGCTCCTGGCTCAAATTTAATTGCCTTTGCCTTCCTTCTCCTCCCTGTGCCTGCACTGAAATGAGACAGGCCCCAAAAAAAAAAAACACCCAACAACATCCTCCATGATGGAGATTGACTTGCAACTGGCGCTCCAGAGGAGCATACAAATGACCATCTGGAGGTCAGCGCTTAATGAGGTGGTCCCGGGTCGGAGGTTGCCTTCATTAAATTAAAGAATGCTGCTCATTTGCATGGGCGTCTCTCTCTCTGGCATTTTGCCTTCTTTTGGCCATAAATATGGATTAGGTTGCCCCCTGAAATGGGAGCAGAGCAACCTGCTGACAACATTTAATTAGTTGGGAATTAATTTATACCCATTGCGAGGCTTTTTAATAAACTTGTACACAGCAAATAGATGTACAAGAGATGTAAGCAGAAATGAGGAAAATGCAGTTGCTTAAACTTTAGATGGAATATGAAAGTTAGGGTAAATAAGTTAAGAAAGATTTTGCATAAATGCTCGGAGGGTTTGTTGTATCTTTAGGAGGGTATAATTTAGTATTCTGATGGCCTACTGCTAGCTGATAAATATTTAATTATATTTCCAATCATAGATAGTATTTTCCGTACTAACAAGCCAAAACTTAGTCTCAAGCATATTTAACTTGATTAAAAACTCTCCAATATTCATCTTCACACAAACTAAAATTGATTGCAGTGGCAAAAACTTTATTGAAA